CTCTCTCCCTCTCCCTCTCTGGAGAGAGTTTTTTTTCCGTGGGAGAACTTTATCTCGTGACTCTTATCAACAAGCTCTCCCCCATCAGAAAACCCTCTCTTGTGGAACAAATTCTTCCTCATCAAAACACACTCTCTCATAACAATCATGAAAAGAACGCACTCGTAAACTCTAGAAGAAGTTCTCTCTTTCAAACATAGCACAAATAAGCATCCTGGAAATAATCTCGGGGCAAGCGACCTCGAAAACGACGAAGATAAGCGCTTTCGAAAATAAACGCGCCAAACGCTCTCGAAAATCTCGGGATAAACCTACTCGAAAATAACGAACATAAGCGCTCCCCCAAATCCCGGAATACATGATCTCGAAAATAACGAACAGATGCGCTCCCCAGAATCTCGGCATGAACGACACCGGAACTCATATGGTCAAGCAATAATAAATATTCATGGGTAAGTGATTCATATTTTCGGAATCGTGAATTCTGTAACCTCGCGTTCTAAAGCAAACAGCAAAGGATTCGGTCAAACAACCGAGCAGTACATGACTGATATGGAATTAAAGACTGAAGGGTAAACGCGCACCAAACATGCACACTGAGGCGATTTACAAAGCATGCAAGTACAATGTCCCGTCCACACGTCGGCTGGCCATCTGGTCGGTCTATTATTATGTATACTTGCGTTCGCTTTCTTATCATTTAATTTGTTGTTCGGTAGATTAGTCTTTCTCTTCTTGTTCGGCTTTCCTTTATTTGTACTCTTCTTCTGCTTCTTCATATGTATATTATTATGCATATTCTTCTTTCTCTTATCATTCGGTTTCTCTCTCTCTCTCTCTCTCTTTCTTTACCTTATAATTCGATGTACCTTTATTTGTTCCTTCTTCGGGTTCTCTTTATTTATCTGCCATACCGGTTTATATTCATGTATATTATTATTCGGCTTCTTCTTTTTCTATGGTTATTCAGTTTCTTCTTATGTATCTTCCCATTCGGTGTTTATTCTGTATCTTATTATCCGGTTTATATTTCTTTATCTCGTTTTTCGGTTTCTCTTTATTTACCTTTCTGTTCGGTTTATGTTTCGTTCTCTTCTTTTTCGGTTTCTCTTTTTGCATATTCTTCTTTGGTTTCTTTTTCTTTATCTTCTTATTCGGTGTGTCTTCGTCGTCGGGCGTGCCGGCCGGAACGGGTGGAAAGACGGCACCGCCAGAAAACCGGACGAGGAAATACATCCAATTCGCGATTTAAACTATTCGGACGGCACACGTACACATACAGAGAACTGTAAGGAGTCAAATCGTGGTCCAATGAAAAGTAAATCGTACATCGAGTGTTGACAATATATACATATACGCACATACATACAATGTTGGACTGCATTGGCGCTTCGCGTCATGCATCATGGTCCTTGAAGTTTGGCATGCCGGCGGAATGGCAGGAAAGCCAAACAGACAATTTACCGATAATTCTTTGTTGCCTTTGTTTCTGGCAGCGTTGTTATAATAATGTTATTCGTGATCCTTCCTCCACCTTTCTTTTTCCTCATGTTTGCCCTATCCTGCGAATTCTTCCCTATCCTCCTCAGCTCTTTTTTGTGGAGAATCCTCCTTGGAGAGCCTTTGGGGGCATCGCACAAGTTGTTTCAGGCCTTCTTAAGGCCTTTTGGAGGCCTCCTGGGCGTCTTCTGGGGGGCTTTAGGGGCTTCCTTGGGCCACCCTGCCCCCAACCGCGATCTCCCTGAACGACTGGGTCACGAATTGGAATGCGTCGGAGGGTGTTTTGGGGCCATTTGGGGCCGTCATGGGCTCTGTTTGGCCCTGTTGTGCCGTCTTGGGGCTCTCTTGGGCTGCCTTAAAGCCCTTTCGGATGGCTTTGGAGCGATTTGGGAACCTCCCAGGCGGTCTCGGACGCCCAGAAGACCGAAGAACAGGGCATGCCCAGGATTCTGGGGGATCGATTTCGCGAGGGGGGGGGTCGGTATGATAATAATAATAATAATAATCATAATAATATCATCATCATCATCAGCATCATCATCATCATCATCATCATCAGCAGCAGCATCATCATCATCAGCATCATCATACGAATGTTAATATATTAGACATGTTGTTATGTATATATGTATGCGTATATATGCATGTATATATAGCCAGGTACATATGTATGTATGTATGGATGGATGTATTGATGTATGTCTGTCTATATGTATATGTGTAGGCATGTGTGTATACATTTGTACATGTATGCGTGCATGTATGTCTGTATGGATGCATGCATGCATGTATGATGCTTTTGTGTATGCCGGTATGTATGCATGCATGCATGTATGTATGTATGGATGTCTGTGTATGTATGTGTCTATACGTATGAGGTTGGGTGGTGACATCGAAGTTGAACGGATAGCCCCCCATTGGGAAATCGGTTTCGGTGTTGGGTTCGTGTCGCGCGTGCGGGCGATGCGAAGCTTCGTGGGCGGTCGAGAGGAATGACTCCGCTGTGGTTAGAGCGGGTCAAGAGCCGTTGACCGCCCCCCCAACCTCATGTCCCGCCGCGGAATCCTGTCCTTGTCCGATGGTGAGGCCGATGGTGAGATCAAGCGAGTGCAATCGGTAGTACGACCGATGGTGAGATCGATAGTGGGATCGAAAGTGAGATGGATTGTTGCCCCGATGGTATCCCGTGGTGTCCCGTCGGTGTCCCCCGGGTGTTCCGTCGGTGTCGCGTCGGTGTCCCGTGGTGTCCCGTGGTGAGATCGATTGTGAGATCGATTGTGAGGACGATAGTGATCGGTAGTGAGAGCGATAGTGAGATCGATATTGAGATCGATCGAGTGAGGTCGATAATGACATCGAGAGAATGAGATCGGTAGGGGAATGGACCGTGAGATCGATTGGTGTCCCGATGCTGTGCCGATGGTATTCCGTGGTGTCCCGTCGGTGTCCCGTCGGTGTTCTTTCGGTGTCCCGTCAGAGTCCTGTCGGTGTCCCGTGGTGTGCCGTGGTGAGATCGATAGTGAGACCGATGGTCAGATCGATAATAAGATCGACAGTGAGATCTATAGTGGATCACTAGTGAGATCTAGAATGAGATCGAACGTGAGATCGATCGAGCGAGAACGATGGTTGGATCGATCGATTGAGATCGATAATGTGATCAATAGTGAGATCGAGGGTGACTTGATGATGTCCTGATCGGTGCCCCGATTGGTGTTCCGATTGGTGTCCTGATGGTGTTCTAGTGGTGTTTCGATGGTGTCTTGGTGGTGCCCTGGTGATGTCCCGGAAAGGTGCCCCGAGTGTTGTGCCGATGGTGTCCCGATTGGTGTCCCGATGGGTGTCCTGATGGTGTCCTGGTGGAGCTTCGATGGTGTCTCGATGGTGTCCTGGTGGTTTCCATAGTGAGTCTTGGGGGGAGGATCGCAGAGAACCCGATACGCCAAACGGTTTTCAATGTCAGCATCACTGGCCACGGGATCGACTGTGATATTGAGCGAATGATGTCCCGTCGGTGTCCCGTCTGTGTCCTGGTGTGCCGTCGGTGTCCCGATTGGCGTCCCACATCGCGACGCAGCATCGTCACCACGCGTCGTCGCCAACTCGAGGGCGCATCACCAGCATCTTCATCATCACCACAATCGCAGTGGTCATCAGTTGGTTCGTTCTCCCCCCGCACCAGCCTCACTATCACCCGAAGGGTGTTTGTATAGGTATATCGATACATCAAAATGTTGATTGCTCTCCTCTCTCTCTCTCTCTCTTTCTCGCTCCCTTCCTCTTCTACATTCTCCTTATCCCTTCTCTTCCACCGCCTCCTTTCCTCATTCAGGTCAGCCTCCTTCTTCTGCCCATGCCCCTGGATCCTTCACATATCACTTCCTCGTCGCCTTTCCAGACGTGTCGGTAGGGCGGGACGGGCATTTCACCGGAGAGTTCCCCACAACTTTTATAGCCCTGGAGTTTGGTATCTCCCGCGTTCGTTTGAACAGTTGCCATAATATTCCAAGGGGCCGTTTTTGTTACAATCGGCTCTCGCCGTGGTTCAGCGCGCCTTCGCTCAAGAAAAACCCCAGCAGTTACACGGACAGAGGAAGAATCGTTTTCAAAATGCGATGTCCGTTGTAGCGCTACGCACATTACATATGCGACAATTGAAAAGATGTGGTTGCGGGCCGCTTTCAACATGTGTTGTTCGCCTAGTTCACCAAGTTCACCAGCAGCTACAAGGAAGGAGGGCGGACCATTTTCAAAATTCCGCTCTCGGTTGAGTGTGGTCCAAGTTTGTGACTACGATCCATGCTTGAACAGCAAAGCGCGTTCACTCGGGTAGACTCTGTTATTGTGGATTCTCGGTTCAGGCTTGTTGAAGCTTCATGGCGGCAGTAGCTACACAAATGCAGGCGGCGGCTGTGTTTCAAAACCACGGTATCCATGTGAGTTGGTGTTCCTTCCCCGGCGCACGCCTTATAGCTGGGAACATGAGGGCGGCTCCGTTTCAAACGGGGCTACATGTGCCCACGTCCTCGATTGTCTGATGGCAAACTGTACATTGCGCAACATACACACAGATGGAGTTGTTTTTTTCGCGTGGGTGTCTCACTTGATATGTGTTCCAGGTTTGTGGTGAACCATTGGTGGTGAGCACCAGGCACGCGACTGCAGCATGCTCGCTGAAAAGTGGTAATGATGAATACCTCCTCCGACGTGGCGACTAAAGCCCGTAGCACCTGCCTGGGTTCGTCTTTCGTAAGGGAGGAGGAGGAAGAGGAGGAGGAGCTGGAGGAGGAGGAGGAACTGAAGGAGGAGGAGGAGGAAGAGGAAGAAGAGGGCTCTGCGTTGTGAAGAGAACCATCGGCTTATGATGAGGAGACGGTGGGAGAGTGCATTGCAGCATCGCCGATGCATCCTTGCTTCGCCTTGTCGCCCAATCCTCCTCCTCCTCCTCCTCCTTCTCCTCGTCCGTTTCCGCCTCCTCTCCCTCCTTCTCCTCCAGGGAGGCCGATGGACATGGCCGCCAAGGTTCTCCTCGGCCTGTACCTGGCCTTGCTGGAAGTCACAGGGAGCTCGCCATGGCAGGGGGGGGACGTGGCAGGAGAAGGACGAGGAGCGAGGAGAGGGAGAACGAGTAGGAGGGAGGAGGCAACGCCAAGGACGACGAGGGAGAGGACGGGGAGGATTAGAAGGTTGAGTAGTAGGAGCGAGGAGGGGATAGTGGGTGAATGAGGATGAGGGGGAAGGGGAGCGTCGGGGTCGGTGATGAGGAAGGGACGGCGGCGAGCGAGGGGGGGGGAAGTGAGAAGGAGAAGGCCTTCTCGGAAGGCGGCGGGACTTCTCAGAAGCCCTCGCGCCTTCTGAGGAGAGCTGTTTCCGTCTTCGGTGGAGTCTCAGACAGGTTTTTTTCTGAAAGCCGGGTGGCTTCCAGACCCTCTGAGAAGGCCTTCTCCTTCTCATTTCCACCCCTTCGCTCGCCGCCGAGTTCCTCATGTGGTTCAGTATGGGGGAGCTAGTGCATCCTATTTAATAGTCTTTGTTTGTGCTGACTTTTCTTTATTTTGATTTTTTGTTTTTTTATTTTTTGTTGATTTTTATTTTTTTTTCTTTACGCCCCAAGGAACTGCCATTCAGGCGGGAGTCCAGCTTCGAACAAGAACCGCTCTCAAGCGTTTCTGACGCTTGGCAGCGCCACCCTTTTTGATCATGCAGTTCGGGACGGTATCCAGCGAGGGTCCCGCACCGAAAAGGAGACGTCCTCATCCTGTCATCCTCGCTTATTTTGGACGGGACACTGATCACCCTCTCCCCTGGATACGCTGGGGGGGGTGGGCACGTGCTGTCGGAACGGGTACGGGGGGGGGGCTGGAGGAACAAGAAAACGATGATGATGATGATGAGGAGGAGGAGGAGGAAGAGGAAGGACGGGGGGGGGAATGGGCAAGCTCAGTCGGAAAAACACCCCCCTTTTATAGATACCCATCCAGAGCAACTGTTGAGCGTGTGTTATGTCTGGGCATCAAGAAGCATGACCCGTCTCAGGCGAGATCTCTTCTCTGGGAGGAAGGTCGCGGATGCTTCGAGGCATGAGCCCAGAGTGAGCCCCCGGATGCGGTCCAGGGAGGGGGATGCCCCAGTTGGGCGCTGGAGGAAAAGGAGGGCCGGGGAGTTGGAGGAGGAGGAGCGGGAGGAGGAGGCAGCGGTGGCAGCGGAGGAGGCCAAGGAGGAGGACGACGAGGGGGAGGAGGGCCAGAGGCGGTGGCAGCGGAGGAGGGCCATGGAGGAGGACGGGCGAGGAGGAGGAGGAGGAGGAGGAGGAGGAGGAGGACGCGGAGGAGGTGGGTGTGAGGGGGAGGATGAGGAGGAGGTTGGTGGGAGGTGGGGAGGAGGAGGTGGAGGAGGTCAGGAGGAGGAGGAGGAGGGGAGGAGGAGGAGGTGGAGGAGGATGGGGGGGGGAGGGAGGTGGTGGAAGGTGGAAGGGTAGGGAGGGGGAGGAGGGGTGGTAGCGGTGAGGATCAACGAGGAGAGAACGAGGAGGAGGAGGAGGAGGAGGAGGAGGAGGGGGAGGGGCGGGTGGGAAGAGAGAGGAGTGAGGAGGAGGAGGAGAGGAGGAGGAGAGGAGGAGGAGGAGGAGGAGGAGGACGGAGGTGGAGGAGGAGGAGGATGGAGGGGGAGGGGGGAGGAGGAGCAGGAGCAGGGTACACCATCCATGTCCTTTCTCGGTCCCGCCGCTGCTGCCCGGCTGCGCGACTGCCAGGCCAGTCTCGAAGGGTGTGTCTTTTTATTTCGATATGTTCCCCTTCCCAAGGGTACCCTTGCATCATTGCCTCCTCGGTCCAGCCTTGGCCACTTTCGTTGGCCGCGCCCCGCTCGAAAAGTCTCGAAATGGGCGTCCAGGGCCCTTGCATCACCCAACGAGCACTCTGAGCAGGTCGAGGTACTCTGCAGTGTCAGGGCCAGCGGCGCGCTCGCGGCCACCGCCCAGTTGCGACGCCACGTGGGCGAGGCCGCTGCAGCTTCCCTCTGCCCCCCCTTCCTCCCGGATGCTCAGGGTACGGTATCGGCGCACGGCCACTCCTCCTCCTCCTCCTCCTCCTCCTCCTCCTCCTCCTCCTCCTCCTGCTCCTCCTGCTCCTCCTGTTCTTGCTCCTGCTCCTGCTTCTTCTCCTCCTCCTGCTCCTGCTCCTCCTCCTCCTCCACCTCCTCCTCCTCTTCCTCCTCCTCCTCCTCCTCCCTTCCTCCTTGATGTCCAGGGTATGGTCCGGTAGGGGGAAACAATTAGTGGACCCCCTCCCCGCCCCCCCCCAAACGCAAAGCTGGCACGCGCGGGGGAGACCACGGTCGAGATGCAACTCGTCCGCCGAGCGAGGCAGCACCGGCCACATTTTGGGGAGGGCACCTCCCCCGATCCATGGACTTGACGACCGCGCACCTAATCCATGGATCGCTAATCCATGCTTGCGCGCCCCCGAATTGTTTCGAGGCCTGTATCAGTGTACGGCCTCTCTCCCCTCTTCCCCCGCTCGAGAAGCGTCGGGCCCCGGCGCGGGCCCGCCGCCGCCGCGCCTGGCTGGCGGCCGCGCGCAGCCGCCTCGCGAGCGGCGCTGCGGAAGGGAACGCTCAGGAGCGTTGCGATATCCATATGTATATACACATAGAGAAGGAGAGAGATAGAGAGCGAGAGCGAGAGAGGACGATAATGAGAAAGAGGACGAGGAGGAGGAGGAGGAGGAGGAGGAGAACGACATGGAGGGATGAGGACGACGACCTGGAGGGATGAGGAGGAGGGGGAGGAGGAAAAGAAGGAGGAGGGGGAAGAGAGGGAGGTGGAGGAGGAGGCGGAAGAGGAGGAAAGAAGAGGAGGAGGAGAAGGACCAGTGTAAACCCAAGGCACATCAACGATGTTGCAGCAAACCCTCTCCAAAGTTCTTCACAGGTCCTTCGAAAAATTGGGTTCAACAGCGGGAAAAGGTCCCATTGGAATCTTGTCGTGTGAGAAACCTCAATTGTGCCAAAGCACTACTCTTGGCCCGGCAATTCAGCGCCGCGGATCAACGTGACCGCTGCGTCTTCACCATCCTAAATCGTGCCAGAGAATTATTCCTGGGACTTCAACACCGCGAATCACTGTGACCGTTGCGTCTGGACAATTCTAAACCGCACCCAAACCGGATGCATGATACTTCAACCATGCGAACCCATGAATCTGGTCCAAGCTGAAGCAAGTTTTGAGACCAATGTGTGCGGCGCTACGGCGAGAGCCACATTTTGAAAACGGAGCTCCCTCCATCCATGAATGTGTTGGAAGCTTTTAAGACGAATGTGCGCGGCGCTAAACCAAGAGACACATGTTGAAAACCGTTTGTCCTCGATCTTGGAACCTGATGCAACATTCCAAAGCAAATGTGCGCGGCGTTGTGAAACTGATGCGCATTCTGTGCTTCAGGGTCATAGCTGGTGAGGCAGTCTCAGGCGAAATGCCCGTCCCGCCCTACCGACACGTCTGGGAGTGCGACAGAAAAGAGTTATGTATAAGCATAAGGGATACAAGAGGAGGAGGAGGAGGAGGAGGAGGAGGAGGAGAAGTAGGAGGATGAGGAGGAGGAGGAGGAAGAGGAGGAGTAGGCTGCACGAGGAGGGGTGGTTGGCGGAGAACAGCAGGGTAGGCGCAAAACCACCCGCCCTCCATCCTCGACGCCGTTGCAAGTTTCAAGTTTCAAGATCATAACTGGCGAGAAAGTCTCAGGCGAAACCCAGCCCGCCCTACCGACACGTCGGGGCGGGGGGCGACGGGGAGGAGGGGTGGAGAGGGAGGTCGGAGGAGGGGAGGGAGGAGGGAGGAGGTGCAGGAGGAGGGAGCAAGGAGGAATGAGGAGCGGGAGGAGGAGGAGGAGGAGGAGGAGGAGGAGGAGGAGGAGGAGAACGCGAAGGAGCAAGGGATGAGGGGGGGGAGGAAGGGGATGCATGGGAGGATCAGTAACAGCACAGGATGCATCAAGGATGCTGTAGCACACCCTCCCGCTCCAAGTCCTCTTCCTCCTATCGTAGGCATTCCCCTTCGCTGCACATGTTTGCCAGGGCCCCGCCTGCGATCTCTCCACACTTCTTGCCACGTGCGCCAAGAGGTACCTTACAAAGCCCACGGGAGTCTCCATCGAAAGTGCAGCGCTGAACGCGTGCCGTCCTCCGCATGTGCAGATGTGCTGCACCCGCCTCAGCTTCTGGCCAGAGGTTTCGAAGGATCCTTACGACTGTGAAGTGGGGCCGCTCTCCACTCGTCGATTTGCGCGTGCAACCTGGGAGAGCATATCAAGCGCGAGGAAGAGGAGGAGGAGGAGGATGAGGAGTAGCCCCATGGTGAACAGGAACTGGCCTCGCTGGATGCGATTGTGCTCGGCGCCGAGGCGAGAGCCATACAGTGAGAGCCCATGCCAAGAGACACCCTGCTTGCCTCCAGGGTGCCCTGGATTTCTTGGGTTTCGATGGCTTTGCTTTGGCAAGCGTGACGCTCCCACGCCAAAAATCAATGGACGTCCTGGGGTCTCGGGGTTGGGCTTCTTGTGGAAGGTTTCTTGTGGACGGGCCTCCACCGTATGTTGGAGGTCACTCGCTTCAGTGCATGCGTTGGCACTCTTTGAGGCGAGTGCGCCGCGGCGCTGAGGTGAGAGCCACGGTTTGGAAAGCCACTCGCCTAAGTCTCAGGAGGGGAAGAAACACACAGACACAATGAATCGTCGATTCCCCGGAAAATATGGGAAAATATGGGAAGTGGGGGGGAAGAGGAAAACCCAGAACATATGGAAAAATATGGGGGGATCCGGTCATTTGTGTCCATTTCTTCGTGTGTCCCAGGGCCCCCATCAAAGTCGAGTGCGTGCGGCGCTCGTGCGAGCCGCTCCCCCGGAAGCCTCGGGCTCCGGGATGTCACGAGCGGCGGGTTCTGGCGGGCGAGGCCCCCGGCCCAGCCGACCCGCACGCGGCCTCTGGCAGCGCGGCGGCGAGGACGGGGCCACTCACGGAGGCGAGGAGCGGAGGGGGAAGAGGAAGAGAACGGAAGGCGAGGCGATGTGCGATTTCTTTTCTCGAAACGAGAGAGAGAGAGAGAACAAAAAAAACAAGAAGAAGAGAAAAACAAATAAAGAAAGAAAGAGAGAGAGAGAGAGAGAGCGAGAGTCAGGAGGAGGAGGAGGAGGAGGAGGAGGAGTTGAGGGAGGAGGAGGAGGAGGGGCGGCGACGACGACGACGAGGGCGATAACGAGGGGGGAAGAGGGAGTGATGAGGGAAGGAGGAAGGATGAAGGAAGGAGGAGGGACAAAGGATGAGGAGGAGGAGGAGGAGGAGGAGGAGGAAGAGGAGTTTTGAAGTTGCAGGGAGGGGGGTGCAGGTGGGGGCTCGTCCACCTGAGCGTCGCGGCGATCTGCGTGGGCTCGGGCTACTTGGTTTTCAGGTTTAGGCCCTACACGGGCCTGCTGGACAACTTGGCGGGGCTGCGCGGGCGAGGGTAGCCGTGCGCTGACGCCGCTCATCATCATCATCCTGCTGGCATAAATCACCATTGTCGTCCTCCTCTCCTCCTCCTCCTCCTTCTCCTCCTTCTCCTCCTCCTCCCCCTCTTCCGTTGTCGTCCACCTTTCTCCCCACCTCCCACCATCCTTCTCACTCCCCTCCTCCTTCATCCTCCCCCCCCTGGGCATGGAGGAGGTGCTGGCGTGGGCAGACGGGCGCTGTCGCTGCTTCGCCTCCTCCCCTCCCCTGTCCGGCAAGAGGGGCCGAGGGCCCACTTCCCGGCAGGCGGTCGCAGAGGAGTCAGAGGCTGAGGATTAAGTCGCGCGTGTCCCTCTAATGGAGGATGACGATTAATAAATGACCGGGGGTCGTGTTCACGCGGCGGCGCCCGGGATGACGATTAGAAAAAACCGGCCGCGGGCTGGAAAATTATCTTTTTTAACCGTTCTCCTCCAGTCAGAAAATTGTGCAGAAATAGGAGAAAACTATTTGTTTAATCGTTCTCCCCCATTTTTTGTATTAATCGTCATCCCGCATTACGGGGGGAAATTCATAAATAGCAGAAAAATCGTCAGGGGGCCGATTTGTCTAGTATGCTTGGCTATGTTTGCACATGTTTGGAATCTTCTCGTTTTTCGTCACACATCCGACTGCAGGAGGACACGCCCGACCTGAGGTGAGGAGGAGGGGAGGAGCAGGAGATAGCGGGCGGGAGGGGGAGCGCAGGAAGTCGGGGAGGCCGACGGTGGAGTTGTTTGTGTTGCCCAGTGCACCTCGACTTCAGATCCACTGTACGTTGCTGGTCGACTTCGCAGGTCGGGCAGAGATTCCCGCCCTGCCGCTCAAACTCGTTTGATGCCGATTGCGGATTTGCCGTCGCTGATGCCGCCGTGCTCTAGCACATGAGTATCCGCCCTATGCTTACTAGGCGGACATTTCCGTCCGACTTGTTCGCATTGTTTGGGGCGCATGCCCAGCAAAACTGTAAGTTGGGAGATGAAAATACTGCAGACCCGAAGTCGGGGTCCCATGTAGCTGCTACGCGGCGGCTTCCCATGACGTGCAGCTCTCCAGGGGGGGGGGACGGGCACGCCTCTTTGGGCTGCCATTCGTCTCGGAAGGGGCTCGTTGCTAGCCCTGGAAACCTTGAACTGAAACAAACCTTACCATCGCTTGGGGGCGCATCGTTTACTTTTTCACGGCACTGCGCCCAATGCGCCTCGTGAGGGGCTTGGGGCAAAGATCAGCCGACATGCCGCGCGCACGGCTGCGCCCGGGATGGGCGAGGTCTCATCTTGGGCTTCGTCAGGTGGCCCGGACAAGGGTCCCCCCCTCCTTGTTGGGCGTCGCGTCATGGGGGGGAGAGGAATGTGGGGGCAGCGAGGGCTGCAGAGAAGGAGGGGCTCTTTGGCCCCCTGAAAGGGCCCTGCAGGGCCCAAAAAGGAGGCCTTTAGGGCCCAAGAAGTGCACCTTTCCTTCCCCCCGTCATTTTTTCGCCCCTCCAGTAAGCGATACCCAACCCTGGGTGCCAGGGATGATCACTCAACAGGCTGAAAAATTGAGGTCATCGCTGGGACGGTCGGGAGCTTTGGTTTAGTCTCTCCGCCGGATTGGGCCCACCACCTTTCGGCGCGACACGCGATCTGGTGCCTTCGGCCCATCCTGCTACCGTGCGTGGGTTGTGGGTCAGAGATCTCAGGGGTGCTTCTTGGGGTCTCCTCGGAGCACTCTCAGGAGCCTCTTGGGAGCAATTGTGAGATCTCTTGGGAGCCTCTTGGGGTCCTTCTGGGGGCCTCTTAAGCCTCTTGGGGCCTCTTGGGGAGCCCTCGGGGCCGAGGGCTCGAAATGTCCATTCTGGTGCATCTTCTGGGCCCCCTCTTGGGGCTGTCATTTGGGCCGCTTGGGCCGTCTTGGGCGCATCTTGGGTCGTCTTGGGTCCTCTTGGGACGTTTGGGGGCCCTCTTGGAGGTGCGATCTTGGGGGCCTCCAGGGCCGTCTGGGAGCGTCGGGAAGCCGAAAAGGCGAGAACGCCAACAACCAGCAGAAACCTTAGGAACATCAGTAATTTGGGCCTCTTGGGGCCTGTTGGGAAGCCTCTTGGAGGCTTCTTGGGGCGTCTTGGAGACATCTTTGGCCGTCTGGGGGTTGTCCTGAGCGTCTTTTAGCGATGGTTCGGCGACTCGGGGCCCTCTTGGACCGTTTCGGGGGTTTCTTGGGGCCCTCTTGGTCCATCTTGGTACCCTCTTGGTTCCGAACAGGTCAAGCGAGAAGGCCTGAGAAGACGCGTCAAGCCCTGGGAGATTTTGCAATTTGGGCTCCGGGCCTCTTAAAGACTCCTCAGGAGCGAGGATTGAAGTTTAGAGAATGGGGCAAAGGACCTGAGGACACGCCCAATCCGTGCCCAGCGGCACGGTGGCGGATCCACGGCTGGCTCCCCGAGCATCAGCGTCCCGAGCTCTGCCCAACCTCCCGCCCCGCGGAGTGGGGCCACACGCCATCCGCTCGCAGGGCCTAGTGCGTCGCCAGGGCCGCCGCCGCTGCGACACGCTTGGCAAGAGTTCCCGACCGCAGAGCCGCCGCTCCACCACCGCTTGCACCCTTGGAAGCCTCCAGGGTGGCGAGGTGACGGGACTTGCGGCGAGCAGCGGAGGACGGAGGGCGAGGAGGTGGGGGCATGAGGCGGGAGAGGAGGAAGAGCAGCAGTACTCCAGATTTCGTAATAAAGGGAGGGGGGTCTCATTTCGGGGGGGGGGTCTCTTCCAGGCTATCTTGGAGGGCCTGGGGGGTCTGGGGACGATGTTTTGGAGGGTTCTCCCACGGGGGAGGTCTGAAATGGCTTGTCTTGGAGGGTCCAGACCCCCTCCCTTTTATTACGAAATCTGGAGTACCCTGCTCAGGCCGGCAGCTCGGCACAAGACGGTCAGGGAAAGGAGGGGGAACGCAAGGCGAGAGCCCATACGGAGTAGTTGCTGGGTAACCGCGCTCCCCTTGCCACTCGGAGAGGTGGCAAGCAGTACAACCCGTGTGCATATATGTATACATAGAGAGAGATTTATACATGCAATGCATACGTATACTGTGTACGTATTGGGATAGTTTGATCCACAGGGGGGCGAAAGCCGAAGGGTGAGGTGGCTTGTGTGGCCGATCTGCTTGTGCGGACGGGAGCAGCTGGTTCAAGCGGACGGGAGCAGCTAGTAAAAGAGGAAGAGGAGGCAGTTACCCAGCGAGAACATGCGACCCCAGGGCGCAGTTGGGCGTTGTCGACGCAGGAGACGGTGGAAAAAGGGCTGGGGTTGGAGGGAAGGGGAGGGAGGGATGCGGTGGGGGGGGGAGATGGAAGGAAGAATGATGGGGGAGGTCGAGAAAGGAAATGGAGGAGGGAGAGAAGGGAGAGGCAGGCGGGTGGAGGGAGGAGAATGGAGACCAGCAGCCATGCCATGGCTGGCATGGCCAGTCCGTCCTCGTCCCTGACCCGTTCCTCCTCCTCCTCCTCCTCCTCCTCCTCCTCCTCCTCCTCCTCCTCCTCCGTTCCTCTCCTCCGCCGTTCCTCTCCTCCGCCGTTCCTCTCCTCCTCATCCTCATCCTCATCCTCATCCTCCTCCTCCTCATCATCATCATCATCATCATCTTCTTCATCATCATCATCATCATCATCATCATCATCATCATCATCATCATGGTTGCCATGAGGCGGAGGATGAACGAGCCAGGGACGAGGAGGGACGAGTGAGAAGGGATGGAAGAAGGGCGAGGGAGGTGGAGTAGCAGGAGGAGCAGAAGGGGATGAAGCGGATAAGGACAAGGAGGAGGAACAGGAGGAGGAGGAGGAGGAGCAACATGAGATACGGGGAGGGCGGGGGAGGCGGAGAACGTGGAAGAGGAGGAAGAGGAGGGAGGGAGGCAGGATGAGGAGGAGGAGGAGAAGGAGGAGTAGGAGGAGGGGGAAGATAGGAAGGAACACGAGCATCACGTCAGGGAGGGGGAAAGAGGAAGAGTTGGTGTCCTAAGAACAAGAAGAAGAGCACAAACTTAACAACCATAAGAAGAGCCCAAACTCGTAGTAATACGAGTACTAGATACGATGATTAAGAAACACGGTAATCATATTAACAATACTGGCAATGATAATGTCGATGCAAACAATAATACCAGCACGATAAACAAACATATTTCTAACAACAATACTGGTACTACTCAGCATATGCCAGGTAATATTTTTATTAGTACGAATCGTAATCGTAATACTATCGGTACGAATTCCAGAACCAAAATTAATACGATTAGTAACACGAGTGCGAGCATCACTACTACTACTACTACTACTACTACTACTACTACTACTACGACTACTACTACTACTGCTACTACTACTACTACTACTTCTGCTGCTGCTGCTACTACTACTACTACCACTACGGCTGCTGCTACTACTACTACTACTACTACTACTACTATTACTAGTACTACGATTGCGGCTACTACTATTTCTACTACTGCTGCTGCTACTTCTACTCCTACTACTACTACTAATACTACTACTACTACGACTACTACTACTACTACTACTACTACTACTACTACTACTACTACTACGGCTACTACGACTACTACTACTACTACTACTACGACTACTACTACTACTACTACTACTACTACTACTACTGCGACTACTACTAAGATCACTAAGACTCTATCGCTCCTACTACTAATATTACTACGACGACTGCTACTTCTACTACTACTACTACTACGACGACGACGGCGACTACTAGTATTACTGATACTACCTATACGACCACCCTTCGGGTGGTGATAAGGAGGTTCGGGGGGGGGAGGAACCAACGTCTCACTCGATCGGTCTCACTATCGATCTCACTATCGATCTCAGTATCGGTCTCGCTCGATCGATCTCCCTCGATCGATCTCACAATCGATCTCACTCGATCTATCTCACACTTGATTGGACTATCGATCTCACAATCGATCTCACAATCGAAATCACATTCGGTCTCACGACCGATTTCACTATCGATATCACAACCGCTCTCACAATCAACGTCATCATCATCAACAACAACATCAACATCAACATCATCATCACCAACATCATCATAATCGGGACACCGTCCTCATCATCAACACCAACATCATCATCATCATCATCATCATCATCATCATCATCATCACGGTCATCAACATCATCGGGACACCACCATCATCATCATCACCATCATCACAATCATCATCATCAACATCATCATCATCATCAGCAGCATCGGGACACAGTCATCGTCATCATCATCATCAGCAGCATCATCATCGGGACACCATCATGATCACCATCGTTAGCATCATCATCATCATCGGAACACCATCATCATCATCATCTCATCATCATCATCGACATCATCATCAGCATCATCAACATCATCATCAGCATCATCATCATCATCGTCGTCATCATCGGGGCACCATTATCATCATTAACAACATCAGCATCAACATCATCATCATCATCACCATCGGGACGCCATCATCATCAACATCATCACAATCACCATCAGAATAATCATCATCATCGGGACGCCATAATCATCATCAACCTCGTCAACATTAACATCATCATCATCGGGACACAATCATAATCAGCATCATCAACATCAACATCATCATACTCATCACCGTCGGGACACCATCATCGTCATCATCATGATCATCAACATAATCATCATGATCATCATCATCCTCATCATCAGGACACCATCAGCATCATCATCATCGTTATCATCATCGTCGACATCATCATCATCATCAACATCATCATCATCATCATTGGGACACCATCATCATATCATCATCATCATCATCATCGTCCTCATCATCATCATCAGCAGCATCACCATCATCATCATCGACGTCATCATCATCATCAGCAGCAGCATCATCATCATCAGCATCATCATCATCATCATCATCATCATCATCATCATCATCATCATCTCATCATCATCATCATCATCATCATCATCGCGGGACACCGCGGGACACCGGCGGGACACCGGCGGGACACCGGCGGGACACCGCGCGCCACCGGCCGCCCGGTGGAGAATCATTTGGTCCGGCCGCGCCTCAGCCACAGGAGACTTTCTCTCGCCCGCCCACGCAGCTTCGCCTCGCCCGCACGCACGGCACGCACGAACACGAAACCGAAATCGATTTCCCGGTAGGGGGGCTCTCCGTTCCACTTCGATCTCACCCCCTCACCTCCGATTACTATTACTACTACTACTACTACTACTACTATACTACTACTACTGCTGCTACTATCACTACTACTACTACTACTACTACTACTACTACTACTACTACTACTACTACTACTACTACCACTACTACTACTACTACTACTACTACTACTACTACTACTAACTACTATACTACTACTTACGACTACTACTATTATTACTACTACTACTACTACTACTACTACTACTACTACTATTACTACTACTACTACTACTACTACTACTACTACTACTACTACCATTACTACCATTCTTACCACGACTACGACGACTACTACTACTGCTTCTACTACTACTACTACTACTACTACTACTACTACTACTACTACTACTACGACTACTACTATTACTACTACTACTACTACTACTACTACTACTACTACTCTTACTACTACTACTACTACTACTACTACTACGACTACTACCACCACCACTACCTACTACGACGACTACGACTACGAATACTAACACCATTCATAACATTGGTAACATTGTTAATACTCTCACTGATATGCGAGTCAAAGAATAATGATCATACTGCTACTACTCATGATAATACTCATGTTAATAACACTACGAATGCGAATATGAATACGATAGTGCTGAGGAGACGGATGAAGGGAGGAGGAGGGGGAACTATGCGACACATACAGATGACGAGAAGGAGAAGAAGGTGAGAGGAAAGAGGATTAGACTATTACGGAGGATGTTCGGGAGGAACAGCAGGAGGAGCAGCAGGAGGGTATGGCAGGGAAGCAGGGGCACGATGTGGACGCGGAGGGGCAGGTGGAGTAAGAACCGGAGGAGGGAGATGAGAAGGAGTAGGAGGAGGAGGACGACGACGACGACGGCAAGGGCAGACAAGAGGAAAAGAGGCTGAGGAGGATGACGACGGTGACAACGACAGCCACTGTGGAAACGAGGAGGACGACGACGATGAGCAGCAGCAGCAACAACTGGTGGGGAGAAGAGGGGGGAAGTGGGAGGGAGAATGAGGAGGAGGAGGACAAGGAGGCGGTGGGGAGGAGGAGGAGGAGGAGGAGGAGGAGGAGGAGGGGACGGAGGAGCCACGCTCGAGACTGGGAGGGGAGGCGCTCTTGGTCACTCTCGCGACCGTGGCGCTGGGGGAGCCGCCCCTAGCTGCGCCTTGGGGCGCGGCGGCCGCGGGTCCCACGCGGGCCAAGCGGGCAGGCATGCAAGAGAGGACGGGCGCAGGCTCGAGCCTCGAGCATTGAGCATCGAGGAGGAGGGGGGGGGGGAAGCAAGGCTGGTGTTCCCCATGTCCTGGGGTTTTGCGATCGACTCTTGACGCCTCGCGCATGCCCACCAACCCAAGACGAAACGATGCCCAGGCGAGTTGCCTCGATCAGGGCAGTTCAGCAGCACGCAGTGGAGCTAAGATGGAGGGGAGCCCATCTATCTCTACATATATACATAGATACACACATAGATATACACTATGTATGCAGCAGCGGCACTTTTGAAGGAGAGGGAGGTGGAGGTGGAGAAATGAAAGGGGGATGATGATGATGATGCTGCTGATGATGACGATGATGATGATGATGATGATGATGATGATGATGATGATGATGATCATGATGATGATGATGATCATGATGATGATGATGATGATGAGGACGATGATGATGATGATGATGATGATGATGATGATGATGATGCTAATGATGATGATGATGATGATGATGATGATGATGATGATGATGATGATGATGATGATGATGATGATGAGATGATGATGATGATGATGCTGATGATGATGATGATGATGATGATGATGATGATGATGATGATGATGATGATGATGATGATGATGATGATGTGGTGGTGGTGGTGTGGTGGTGGTGGTGGTGGTGGCGGGGGGGGGGGGAAGGAGAAGGAGGAGGAGGAGGAGGAGGAGGAGGAGGAGGAGAGAAGAGAAGGAGGGGGAGGAGGAGGAGGAAGAGGAGGAGGAGGAGGAGGAGGAGGAGGAGGAGGACGAGGAGGAGGAGGGGGAGGAAGAGGAGGAGTAGGAGGAGGACGAGGAGGACGAGGAGGAGGGAGGAGGAGGGAGGAGGGAGGAGGGAGGAGGAGGAGGAGGAGGAGGAGGAGGAGGATACTGCTGCTGCTGCTGCTGATGAGGAGGAGGAGGAGGAGGAGGAGGAGGAGGAGGAGAAGCAGGAGTATGAGGAGGAGGAGAAGCTGGAGGAAGAGGAGGAGGCAGAGGAGGAGGAGGAAGGAATATGGCGGCAGCGACGACGACGGACACGATGTTGACGACGACCATCGCGACGAGATGAGTCGTCCATAAAGGCCTTCGCGGGTCTTCCACTCTTGGATTTTGAAGCTTCGTCGAGCTGGTTTGGAGCCTTGTTGGTGTATAAGTCTTCGCCGTTGGGCCTATCTGTGGGGTTTTTCGGGGCTCAGATTGGCTGCCCTCGGGGGCTCCCTGCAGACATCCTGGGGCCAGTGAGGGTATCTCTGGGTCCTCTCGGTGGCCCTGTTGGCGGGCCCTCCTCCGGCCATCTGTGAGGACATCGATCAAAGGAGGAGGGGTTCTGAATCGTGCCTGTCCCTCATCCTCCTCCTCCTTCTCCTCATCCTCCTCCTCCTCCTCATCCCCCTTTCGTTTTTCCACCTCCACCTCCCTCTCCTTCAGAAGGAGGGGTTCTTAATTATGCCTGTCCCTCTTCGTCCCCGAAGCTCGCTTCCTGGGGCCTTCTTTGGGCGCACATGGTGGGCTCTTGGCAGCTCTTGGGGCTGTCTTCGATCATTGTTGGGCCCCTTTTGCTGCTTTCTTTTATCACCTTTGAACCATCATCGGGAGCGGAATGGTGAGAGTCTCAATATGTCAACCCAGCCTGGGAGGTCCCGGGGCGCAGCACACCAGGGTAAGGGCGATCAAGCGTCTTTCTCCCAGTCCCGCTTTCTCATGATTGTAGTGGCCTCCGGCCAGTGCCGCCGATCCGGGGCGCTCCATGATGCTGATGCTGATGCTGATGCTGCTGATGCTGATGCTGATGCTGCTGATGATGATGATGATGATGATGATGATGATGATGATGATGGTGGTGGTGGTGGTGGTGGTGATGTAACAATAATAATTGTGATGGTGATGGAGATGGTGATGATCCCGCCCCCCCTCCTCTCTCTGTCCCCGCCCTCTCTCCTGTCCCCCCCCTCTCTCCTATCCCCCCCCCCTCCTCTCCTGCCCCCCCCCCTCTCCTGTCCCCCCCCCCTCTCTCCACCCCCCACTCTCCTGTCCCCCCCGCCCCCTCCTCTTCCTGTCCCCCCCCCCTCCCCTTGCAGAGCGCCATCTGTAAAGCGGACCTCCCCTCCCGCCTTTCCTGCAGCTCCCGCTCCCCTGAAAGGCCCCCCCCCCCCCCCCCCCCTTTGCAGCCACCCCCCTGCTGCAGAGCGCCACCCCCCCCCTCTCCTGCCCTCATCCTTGCAGAGCAAAACTCGAAGGGGGGGGGGGGGGGGGGGGGGGCGAAAATCGAGGGGGGGGGGGGGGGGCTGGCAGGGGTGGGGAGGTGCCGAGCACTGAATTCGACAGTTTAATGAGGTCCCCCCCCCCCCCTCCCCCTCCCAAGCAGAGCTAAAGCTCATGCTGAAGCAGAGCTTCAGCTTAGACTTCTTAAACTCACACGCCAGATCGGCGTATTTTGGAAAGGGTGGTTCAGTGCCCATGTATCGGACAAGCACCCGCCGCCAAAGGAAAGGCGGTTGCATCTTCAGGTCCGAAGCGGGCTATGAAACACATACCCTGGCGAAGAGCCCAACCCATTCTACGGTCACGGAAACGACCAACATGACCTCTCAATGCACAGAGCTCGGCAAGAGTTTCCGCAGTGCCCTTCGGTGGAGCTCCCCATGGGGCCACGAGACGTGTGAGGGGTCTGCCGAGATGGGGCGGGTGTCCACGTGAACCCGGCCACAGGCGCCCTCGGTGGAGCCCCCCTTGGGGCATGAGACTTTTGCCCATGGGAGTCCCGCCACTGGGGCCCTCGGGGAAGCTCCCTATGGGCCACGAAACGTGTGAGACCTTGCCACTGAGGTCCTCGGTGGGGCTCACTATGGGGCCCCCGATAAGCGTGTGAGGGGTCTGCCGAAATGGGGCGGGTGCCCAAGTGAACCCTGCCACTGGCTATGGGGCCACGAAGCGTGTGAGGGGTCTGCCGAAATGGGGAGGGTACCCATGTGGGGCCCTCAGTTGAGCCCCCTATGGGCCACGAAGCGTGTGAGGGGTCAGCCGAAATGGAGCGGGTTACCCACGTGACCCCTGCCACTGGGGCCCCCGATAAGCGTGTGAGGGGTCTGCCGAAATGGGGCGGGTGCCCACGTGGACCTTGCCATTGGGGCCCTCGGTGGAGCCCCGTTGAGGGCCACGAAGCGTGTGAGGGGTCTGCCGAAATGGGGCGGGTACCTATGTGAACCCTGCCACTGGGGCCCTCGGTGGAGCTTCCTATAGGGGCCACGAAACGTGTGAGTGGTCTGCCGAAATGGGGCCGGTACCCATGTGAACCATGCCACTGGGGCCCTCGGTGGAGGCCCCCTATGGGGCCACGAAGCGTGTGAGGGGTCTGCGGAAATTCGAAAATCAAGAAGATAAGAGGAGGAGGAGGCCTCCTGTGCAGCTAGAGCCGTCGCTGGGGCCTTCGGTGGAGCCCCTTAGGGGGGTGCGAACCGTGTGAGGGGTGCGACGAACATGTAATGATAATAATGAGGGTGGTGATTGATATCAAGATGATGACTTCGACGAGGAACAGGAAAGGAGGAAGGAAGGAAGGAAGGAAGGAAGGAAGGAAGGAAGGAAGGAAGGAAGGAAGGAAGGGAGGAGGGGAGGAGGAGAGACGCGCGGCGCTGCGAATTCAAAACGAGGACCCAATTCCACTTGAGGGCTGGGAATGAATAGGCACCTGGGTACCATCAGGGCCCCCTCCCTCCCGACGACGACGAGGACGACCACGACCACGACCACGACCACGACCACGACGACGACGACGACCACGACGACGACGACGATAAGAGATAACGACCACGACCACGACGACGACGACGACGACCACGACGATCACGACGATCACGACGACGACGATGACGACGGCGGCGACGACGACCACGAGGACGACGACGACGACCACGACGACGAGAACGACGACGACGACCACGACGGCGACGACGAGAAGGATGACGACGACAAGAGATAACAACCACGACCATGTCAACGACGACGACGACGACGACCACGACCATCACGACGATCACGACGATGACGACGACGATGACGACGAGGACGACGACGACAAGAGATAACGACCACGACCACGACAACGACGACGACGACGACCACGATCATCACGACGATCACGACGATGACGACGACGACGACGAGGACGACCACGACGACGACCGCCACCACGACGGCGCCGACGACCACTACGACGACGACGACGACCACGACGACGACCACGACGACGACCACGACGACGACGACGACGACGACGACGACGACGACGACGACGACGACGACGACGACGACTTAAGGATTCGGGGCCGTAGCACAACAGAAGACTTGGGCGTCGCGTAATCGGGGGGCGATAAGAGGGGTGGGGGGGTGGTCGGGTGAGGGCTGCAGAAAAGATGTCCTTTAGGGCCCAAATGGAGGCCTGCAGCGCCTCAACAGTATACATAGTAGAGGAAGAGGAGGAGGAGGAGGAGGAGGAGGGGAGGAGGAGGAGGAGGAGGAGGAGGAGGAGGAGGAGGAGGAGGAGGCAGGAGGAGCAGGAGGAGCAGGAGGAAGAGGAGGGACCAGTTTCATCCACCGCCGAGGGAAACAGGGTGGTGGTGGGGGGGGGGGGGCTCGAGCAACGCCCAGACTTAAGCAGCGCCCGGAGGAGGCACCCAGGGGTCCCGGGCAGGGCCCCCCCCCTCCTGGGGCCTCCCCGGAGCTCCCTCCCGGGGGCCGATAAGCCCCGGGAGGCCTCCCGCCCTCCTCAGGCGCCGCCCTGCTCGGGCGGCCCCGCCCGCCTGCTGTGCGAGGTGCGATGCTCGTGGGCGGAACAGGTATACGAGTACGACCCCCTACTCCTCCTCCTCCTCCTCCTCCTCCTCCCCCGGCATCTGGCAGTTTGGGGCCGTCTTCGGCCTCTCGGGGCCCTTGCCGGTCCTCGGGGCCGTCAGAGCACGGGTCGGGATGAAGAACCGGTCCCGGGGAGGTGGTCGCGAGGTCGGGGGCCCGTGTCTCGAACAAGTCGGGACACCGGACACTTGGGAAGCCCGTGCGCCAGAAGGCGGGCCCACGAAGGGCGCAGGCGGCGACGACCCGCAGCGCGCTGTACACGCGCGCGCCCGCGCTCCTCGGACACAGCACGTGCGTCTGAGAATGAGGGCCCACTCGTGAGGCGTATCCGTAGCTGCGGCCTCGCGGGTCGGGCGCCTGGGCCGCGACCCCACGGATGCGGGGCGTTGCTGTTCGCGGGTGCTCCGCGCGGAGCGCATCCGTGCGACCGCGCATCCGCGGGATCGCGCTCCAGAGTCCAGACCGCGAGGGCGCGGATACGGATGTGTTCGCCGCTCGTGGGATGCTCCTGGCCCGAGCCAGCTCGGCTGGCTCCGGTTGCCGCCGTTTGACCCCTAAAGCTTCCAGTCCCAAGTAAGCCCTAGAGCTTTCATTCCCAACCATCCTGTGGTGTTGGGTCCTCGTTTTGAACAGCGCCCCGCGTCTTTCCTCCTCCTCCTCCTCCTCCTGCTCCTCGTCCCCCTCCTCCCTCCTCCATCGTCATCATCAGCATCATCATCATCATCATCATCATCATCATCATCATCATCACCATCATCAGCAGCATCATCATTAGCATCATTAGCATCCTCATCCTCCTCCTCGTCCTCGTCCTCCTCCTCCTCCTTTTCATCATCATCAACATCATCATCATCATCATCATCATCATCATCATCATCATCGGCATCATGATCATGATCAACATCATCATCATCATCATCAGCATCATCAGCATCTTCATCTTCATCTTCGTCTCCATATTCATCAGAATTCCCATCATAATGCTCATCATCGTCATCATCATCATCATCATCATCATCATCATCATCATCAGCATCATCATCATTAACATCATCATCATCGTCATCAGCAGCAGCAGCATCATCATCACGTCTCCACTTCCGTTTCGGCATACCCCTCACACGTTTCGTGGCCCCATGGGGGGCTCCACCGAGTGCCTCTGTGGCGCAGTGTGCATGTGGGCGTCACGCCCGCTTTGGCACATCCCTCACACGCGGCCCCACAGGGAGCTCCACCGAGTGCCAATGTGGCGCAATTCTTCGCATGTGGGCGTCACTCCCGTTTCGGCACTCCCCTTACACGTGTCGTAGCCCCAGTGGGAGCTCCGCCTAAGGCGCCCGTGGCGCAGTTCGTATGCAGGCGCCACGCCTGTTTCGGCGCACCCCTCCTTTCGTGGCCCCATAATTTGGGTACACCGAGTGCTTCCGTGGCGCAGTTTGCATGTGGGCGTCACGCCCGTTCCGGCACACTCCACACACGGTTCGTGGCCCCATAGGGAGCTCCACCGAGTGCTTTCCGTGGCGCAGTTCGCATGCGGGTTCCCACCCATTTCGGCACATCCCTCGCATGTTTCGTTGCCCCATAGGGAGCTCCACCGAGTGCCCCAGTGGCGCAGTTTGCATGCGGTTGCTAATTTCGGCACACCTCTCACACGCTTCGTGGCCCCATAGGGAGCTCCACCGAAAGCGATGGCCACAACGCGGTACTTACATCTGCATATGGCTGGGTCTCTCGTCAGGAAAATAATGTTCGGGAGTTCTCACTTGTTGACGACTTGTGTCTCCAAGATGGCGTCGGAGCCCCAAAAGATCCCCAAGAGGGCCCCAAGATGGCCCAGGACTGCCCCGCGAGAGCTCCATGAGAGCTGACTGCGGCTTCCAGAGGAGCTCACGAGCGCCCAAGAGGGCTCCAAGAAGGTCCCAAGAGGCACCTGGGTTTCACCAGGAGGCTCCCAGCGCTGCGAAGGGCCCCAAGACGGTCCCAAGAGGCCGCCGGACTGCCCTCAGAGGAACTCCGAGGGACCAGATCGGTCAAACACCGCAGGAACTGATTTATTTCATGATCAGCTGGAGTTCCAATTTGTTGACGAAGTGTGGCTCCAAGATGGCCCTGGAGGCAAAAAGGACTCTCAATAATTGCCCAAGGATGCCCTAGGATTGCCCTGAATACGGGGCCTCTGTGCGGCTTCAGACACTAGCGCGTGGACTTCCAAGCCAAGGACCCGACCATGCAGACACGGCCCCTCTGGCGCGGATGGTAGCGATCTCGGGTGCGCTGGCCGCTTTGGCGGGGTAGGCGCCTGTCTTTCACAACCCCATGCTCATCGCGAGGTGGCTAGCGCCACACTTGACCATCCCAGGAGGGACTCGCCAGGGAGGTATCGCCCAGATGCTCCTCGCGATCTAGCAGGCATGGCACATGGGCCGCTCAAGGGGGCACCCCCCATGGGGGCATGTCGCGCCCCGATCGTTGGGACCGCTCGGGCAGTGGCCGTTTGGGCAGGGTAGACGCGTCTCGCCTCGCAGCCTCATGGCCTCCGCGATGTAGCAGGCATGGCGCGTGTGCCGCCCAAGGCAGACCCCCAGAGGGCACTTTGCGCCCAGATTGTCGGGACCTCTCGGGTGGAACGGCGGTTCTGGCAGGGTAGACGCGTTGGCTTCAGAGCCCCACGATCATCTCGATGTAGCAGACATGGCGCTTGTGCATCACCAGGGGGACCCGCCAGTGGGTGTCTCACGGGCCCGTTCGCGCAGTGAGTGTCGGGTCCTCTCGGGTAGAATGGCCGCTTCGGTGGGGTAGGCGCGTGGGGCTTCAGAGTCCAATGGTCATTCCGATGTTGCAGGCATGGCACTTGGGCACCCCACGGTGGATCCGATGCGGGGTATACCACGGGCGGGTGGGCCTAGCGGGGCTCACTTGAAACTGCTTTGTCGCGGTCGCCACGCATTTGTACAACAAGCGTTGCCCCTAGGTGTTCTCGCGCGGGAGTCCCGTCATCCTCGTCCTCCGAGTTCTTTGCTCTTGCATCTAGACTCTTTCCTCCACGTCCTCCTAGTCCTTCTCTTCGTCCTCCCTCCTCCTTTTCCTCGTCGTCATCAGCATCAGCATCATCATCATCAGCATCATCATCATCATCATCATAATCATCATCATCATCATCCTCATCATCCTCATCATCATCATCCTCATCATCCTCATCATCATCATCATCATCATCATCATCGTCATCGTCATCGTCATCGTCATCGTCATCATCATCACCATCAGCATCATCATCGTCGTCAGTATCATCATCGTTCTCGAGGTCTGGTCGGCCCATTTCACTACCGTGCCCATTGCCGAGTGAGCTCCTAATCCTCGTTCTCATGTTTCTTTTCCTGCTTCTGCTGCTCTTCCTCGCCCACGTCCTCTTCGTCCTCCTGGCATAGTTCTCGTCCTTGGCCCCTGCACCTGGACCTTCTTCTCCACGTTTTCCTCCTCCTCCTCCTTCTCCCCATGCTCCTCCTGTCTCCAAGGCTCTGCAGTACCAGCTGTCTCACTTCGTCGGCCCAACGGCGAACTTGTTCCCGGCCTGGATGGTCCACGAGGGCTGCTGCCAGTCCGGAACCCCGAGAGCATTCTCGCAAGTTTAGGCCGCAAACGCTGGACTCCCAGCTACCCTCGGTGAGGGTCGAAACTGAGAACTGGCCTCGGTGAGGGCCCTGGTCACGTGTGGGATCGGATGGTTGGGTTGGGATGATGATGAAATGGAGGAAGTGGAGGAGGTTCCTTGATCCACATGTGCCTGCAGCATATTCTGCGTTCTATACTTTTCTATTATTCCACAGTCGCGAGGCGGCGTATTCCCTTATTTAATCGCTTCGCTCATTCCGCCGGCCCTCGAGCGCTCTATGGGGCCTCTTTGAAGCCTCTTGGGGGCCTCTTTGGGGCCTCCTAGGGGCCTCTTGGGGGCCTCTTGGGGGTCTCTTGGGGCTCCTTGGCGGCGTCTTCGGGCCCCCTTGGCCTCTTGGGGGGCCTCTTGGGGCGGGGTAGTCGAGTGCACCCCCTCGGAGGCCACGATCCTCGTGAGGGGTGTCGAAAAAAAGGCCCTCAAAACCATCTCTGAGTAGACCTACTCGGGCTGCGGTCGGGACATTTTTCGCTGGGGGACCCCCAGGGGCCGCCCCGCGCGCGCGAACTAGAAATATTGTTAACCAGTTACCGGAGATCTTAGCACGCCTCTGGCCCGTTGGGCCGGCGAATTCAACATTGTTGCAGGGCACAGGCCTGCCGCTTTCCAAGAACGCCACAGGTTTTCATCTCAGGCTTGCTTAACGTAGTAGAAGGAGGAGGAGGCGGAGGAGGAGGAGGAGGAGGGGGAGGAGGAGGGGGAGGGGCATAGTGAGGAGCAGGAGGCGAGGGAGGAGACAGAGAACGACGATGCAGCGGCGACGCCGGAGGCGGAGGACGAGGCCACGAGGCGGAGCTGCCTGGGAACTGGTGCTCGCGATCATCCGCGGCGCTCCCTGGTGCGTCCAGCCTGTAGGCCCCCAGCCAGCAGACCCCCCCGAAGGAGTGGCCGTTGTTCCCCTTTCCTCGTCGCCCCTCCTCCTCCCTCCTCCTATCCTTGCCCTCCTCCTCCCTTCCCCCCTCCCTCCTCCCTCCTTTGATCCCTCTTCCTCCTCCCTCCTCCCGTCTTCCTCTCCCTTCCCCTTCTTGACATTATCCTCCTCCTCCTCCTCCTTCTCCTCCTCCTCCTCCTCCTCCTCCTCCTCCTCTTGCTCCTCCTCCACCTCCTCCTCCTGCCAGGAAATAAGCGCGGATCCTGCTTCTACAAGTTTGTTCACCTCCAGGGGCGGCCGCCTCGTTTGAGGGGCGGCGGGGGTGTCTGCCGGCTTCCCGATCCGCGTGCACTGGGCGGCAGATAGGCCCCCAGACGTGCAAGGCAACGCATTTTGCAGCACGGGCCCCCCAGAGGTCCCGACCCTCCCCCCAGGGCAAGGGGAGGACCCAAACACGCCGAGGGAGGACCCAAGCACACGACAAGGGAGGACCCAGACACGACAAGACTGGAACACACTCACGATAAGCAGTAGAGGCGACAGTGGGAGCTTTCGCCTCCCACTTTCGCCTCCCGCTTTCGCTTTCGCCTCCCACTTTCGCCTCCCGCTTTCGCTTTCGCCACCCGCTTTCGCCTCCCGCTATCGCTTTCGCCTCTCTTTTTAGCCTCCCGCTTGCGATTTAGCCTCCCGCTTTCAATTTCGCCTCCCGCTTTCGCTCGGGCGGCGAAAATGGGAAGCGAAAGCGGGAGGCGAAAGCGGGAGGCGAAAGCGGGAGGCGAAAATGGGAGGCATAAGCGGGAGGCGAAAGTGGGAGGCGAAAGCGGGAGGCGAAAGTGGGAGGCGAAAGTAGGAGGCGAAAACGAATCGCTTCCCATTTTCGCGTTTCTTGTTGTGAATTTCCCCCCCCATCTTGTCGTCAAGTTGCATGCCGCGAAACCAATACACCCATCGGAGTCGTTGTTTGCCGGTCCCCAGGGCCGGCGAGGGCTCCCAGAGGTCGAAGATGGCCAACAAATTCCCGTCGTGGTGTTTCACGTCGCGAGCATGTCTGGGCCCGCGTCCGCAGGAAGGAGGAGGAGGAGAAGGAGGAGGAGGAGGAGGAGGAGGAGGATAGGATAGGAGCGGGAGGAGGAGGGGGAGGAGGAGGAGGAGGAGGAGGAGGAGGAGGAGGAGGAGGAGGAAAGGCAGGAGGAGGAGGAGGAGGAGGAGGAGGAGGGTACTAAGTCGTCAGCAGCAGTAGGAGCCGTCGGTGCCATCGCCAGTGGCGGGGCCAGCGGACGCTTCTCACAGCCCTGCTGGTCGGGCATCGGCGGCAAGGGGCACGGCCTCAGGGCCACCTCCCCGCGAGCAGCCTGCCCGCCCCCCGCTGGCTGCCCCCACCCCCCCTGCTACCTCTCGCCCTGCTCCCCCTGCTGCTGCTGACCCAGCACATATCCTCCTCCTCCTCCTCCTCCTCCTCCTCCTCCTCCTCCTCCTCCATCTCCTCCGCCTGCCCTGGCTGAGCTTTTTTCAATGCGCGTGAGAAGGCCATGATGTGGCCCGCCCAGGTTTTCTTGGGGATCATCGCCCTTTTGCCCAAAAGAGCGCCCTGTCTGCAAATGTGCGACCCTTTCATCGGGTGTACTGCAAAATCCGTGGGGTGTTTCTGCATCAGTGGTCCAGGGGGCACATGGACTTCTGGGACGATGCTGTCCGCGGGAGCTCTGCCCTCCGGGCGGCGCTTAGGAGGGAGATCTGCCACGAGGTGGCTATGTTCGAGGGCCTCAAGAGCGTGGCTGTGCACTGGGATCTCACCAAGTTTTTTGACACGGTGGTTCCTGCGTTGCTCGTGTCTTTCGCCTGTGATCTGGATGTTTCCTCACCTCCTCTACCTGGGCCTCCTGATCCATGTTGCTCCGAGAATGCTTGAATCCTCTGGCTTCTGTTCGGGTAGTATTGCCTCGGGCATTAGGGTCCTCCCAGGGTGTATACAGCCTATGTCTTGGGTCAAGGTGTACCTGTACCAGGTCCTCCATGATTTGCATCATCGGTGCTCTCCTGGGGTCGCTACTAGGTCGTACATCGATGAGCTTCCCCAGGTTGCCCAGGGTAGTGCGGAAGAAGTGCGTAAGAAGATTGTCGATGCTGCAGCGCACCTCGGCCATTCTCTGCAGTCAGTGCAGCTGGTTCTCTATGACAAATCTGCCATAGGTGGTAACAGCCAGCCGCTTACCCTTTCGATCCTGACTGACCTCAGGACTGCTGGTTTCACGTTGAAGATTGCTGACACCACTACGGACCTGGGCACATCTACCACCGCGGGTAAGCGACGGTCGGTGGTCATCATGGATAAGCGACGACGCATGGCGTCCATGAAAGCTCGTAAGGTTCGGTAACTTACGAAGATTGTCAAAAGGGCTTCTAAATCGTATACGCCTGGAGTTTTAGCCGTGGGTACTTGGGGGCATCAGTGGTGGGGCTCTCTGTGAACCAGGTCCAGAGTGTGCGAGGGCAGACCGCTGTTTGTTCGGGTGCCTGGCATGCTGGTGCATGCTCTACTACTATCCTCGGCACCATGCGGGGGTTTCGCAGTGACCTCATCTATCGGCTTCGACGTGAGCACCTCGAAGGATTTGCCTCTACCTGGGTTGCTCTGGGGCATGCGTTCCAGATGAAGGTTTCTACGCTTTGGGGGAGTAGGGTTCAGGAGTCCAATCACATTCCAGCTAGGCATATATGGCGTCGGGTCCGTGGCCCTGTCGCCGCAACGGTTGCTGTTCTGCTCGGCTTAGGATGGGTTCCTCTCTCTCTCTCTCTCTCTCTCTTTCTCTCCTGCACGCTGGCGAGACGAGCGGGGCGTATTGATCCAGCTGTCCCAGCCTGAGTTTCGCGTGCACCTTCGTCGCTCCATCCAGCTCACGTGCGATGCTATCCTCTGGCGACATGCAGCTCAGCACTACATGGGGGACGGAGTTGAGGGATGTGTTGATTTTACGTGTTTCCATAAGGAGTATAGGAGGATGGGGCGTGCTTTGGATCATGAGGGGCAGGCTATCCTGATGAACACTGTTTCAGGAAGCTTCTAGACTGATCTTAGGCTGCATGAAGCTGGCTATGAAACTGCTGCCCTAGGAATGTGTGTTCGCTGCGGAGAGCAGAAGGAGACCCCGTTCCATCGTTTTTGGCAGTGCTGCATGAACGAGTACAATCCTGACTCGACGGTTGGCGACTCCGCCCCACCTCGCTGAGCGTGTTGCTTACGATGGTTGCTAGATCGCATTACAGGGCATCTCCCTGCGCCCTTGGACCTGGGGATCGTTCGAGGATCGGGAAGTCAGGGAAGGAGGAGTTTGGGGGATCGACGGACCGACGGATCGGGGGGGAAGTATGTTAAGGATTTCAGACTAAGGAGGTGCGGATGGGCTTGCGTCCGCCTGTCCACCACTCTAGATGATGTCGATGGTGGTGTTGCTGGCACCCTGCCTGGCCCTGATCAGTCGTCTCCTCGTGTGGAGCTCCTGTCGCTGATTTTCGTGCTTAGGTTTACCTCTGGAAGAGTTCTGATTTTCAGCGATGTCCTTCCTGTCTGTCGAAGGTTTCGAAGGCCGAGGTCGGCCATGGTCACCAGTGAAGTGGCTGATCTATGGGTGACCCTCTGGAGGGTCCTGGATCGACGGGGAGGGGAAGTTGACCTACGTTGGACCAAAAGCCGCCCCACCCTTGTGACGGATATTATGCACCATAGGCATGAGCAGCGTCAACACTTACGTATTCCGTATATTCTAACGAAGACTGATGTTTCGAGTATTCTCTTTTTCTTAGGCATACTCCTAGGAGTGAATGCTCTAGAAACGACAGGGATTTTAGATGGAGCAGCGCAATGGACGGATCAATACATGCGCCGACGCACGCGCGTCGGAGGCCGCACGGAGGGCGGAGGCCCCCGAGCACGTGGCTGCTCGGGCTTGTCTTCGGGATGGCCGCCACGTGGCCATCCTTCGTCGCCTGGTCGCCATTCCGCGTGCGGTTTTTCAGGCTTGCCCTGTTTTCGCAGCCAGGAGCCTTTCCCTTGGC